AAAAAAATTAATAATAGGTAAATAAGCAAACGAGAAAACAAAACCTCACCACCTCCCAGAAATCTCCAATTGGTGGGGTGAGCTGAGCCCAGTGGCGGATTTGGCAGTGAGCTACACTAGGTTGTAGCCCACCGTTGTCCAAGCCCAGATGCATTAAAATAGAGAGGAATTGGTTGTAGCCCATAGTTGTTCAACGGTTTAAGCCCACTGTTGTAGCTCATTCGAAAATACAATTGAAATAATAAATTCTCAAACCCTTTCACCCGTATCTTTTCACGGTTTCACCTTCAGAGGAAATACATGAAAATGACCTTTAATTGGTGGGGTGAGCTGAGCCCAGGGGCGGATTTGGCAATGAGCTACACTAGGTTGTAGCCCACTGCTGTCCAAGCCCAGATGCATTAAAAATAGAGGGGAATTGGTTGTAGCACATTGTTGTTCAACAGTTCAAGCCCACTGTTGTAGCCAATTCAAAAACACAATTGACATAATAAATTATCAAACCCTTTCACCAGTATCTTTTCACGGTTTCACCTTCAGCCTTCAAAATTTCACCCACCCCTGGAGAGTGGAGACGATCGCCGTCCATCGAACCTTCAGCACGGTTTCAGTATTTCACAGCCCCTAGAGACGAACGTCGTCCGCCGACCCTTCAAGTGCTTCAGCCGGCCCTTCACCATGGTTTCAGTATTTCAGATTTTTGAAAAACTCTATCTCTGTGCTTCAGTCAGCCCTTCACTCTTCAGGTACAAAAAAAATCGGTAAATCCATGGGTGTGATTGTGTGAATGAAATTTCAAATGTATTATGCATTATTTAGATTAGACTTGCTAGTTGCTAGGTAATTTGGTAAATCCATTTGATTAAGGCTAACTAAGCCAAAGTGACTCGCAGAGACATATGAAGGAGAATGGCAGAAATGTTAAGGGCAGATTAATATTAAGGACACTGGACACATTAACTGATTAACATATATTTTTCTTTTTAACCGTGTTTCTTTAATCCAGTTCGCTAAAATGTCTCTTAGTCTTAAGAGTTTTTTTGGCACACTGTAATGTATAATGGGAACTGTAGAATTATATTAAGAGTGTGTTTGGTAGAGATTAAAATCGGATTAAAATCGAAAAACTAGCCGTTATTGTTGACTTTTATTAGACCGGTGGGACCCAATAACGGCTATATTTTCAATTTTAATTGAATTTTTAGTATTACCAAACAAGCCTTAAGAATAGAAATTTGGGAAATGTTAGCTTTAGGATTTATGAATTTATTTAGGAAATGTTAGCTTTGGAAATTTAGCAATGTTAAATTTTGAAAATGAGAGCTCTGTGCTTATTTCATATGATATAATGATATGAATTTATAGGATATTGAAGTACTTTGATTTTTATGCTTTTAGGTTTAACATGGAAGAAGATCGACCTTCTTCCAAAAAATGAAGAACCTTGTTAGCTTTCTTTTCAAAGAGAAACAAATATCAGGGTACTCCAATTCCTACGGCGTCCACTCCAAATCCAATTTCATCTCTTGAATTGAACAGCCTTCATCTTTTAATCTTAATTTGGAACCACTTGATTCTATTGAACGGGACCCAAGAAAAAGAAATAAAATATGTGAACATTCATTTAATGAACACGGTCAAATTAGGCGAGCATATCTAAATGCTGGACTTTATCAACCAAAACTTTTGGAGTATCAGAGTAAAGAATGTGGAAAATAGAAACGTCGATTTCAGGAGTGTTGGTACAATCAGTTTTTTAGTTGGAATATTCACCTTCAACACATAAGGCATATAGATTTTGTTGCTTCATTATTCTCAATTATAGTACTCCACCTAATATTTCATCGTTGGTTACCATTGGATTTGATAGTTG